GATGCTGCAACTTCCGCTGTCAGATTGGTAAAGATGTAAAAAACCCACCACCTCAGGCTTGGTGAAGGTATAAGAAAACAGACACACTCAGATCCTGCTAGTGGAAACATCAGTTAGTTCAACTTTTGGGAGGATAGTTTGGCAGTTTACAACAAAAGCCTTTAAGAGTTAACTTTCTCTTTGACTTCATAATTCTTTTCTAAAAAATTATTCTTAAAAAACATGAGTATGCTTAAATACTTATCAAATGATTAAAATTTATAGGGAATGATTAAAAGGGTATTCATTTAAAGTCTTAAGGGTGTGTTTTTCTCTAGAAGTGATATTTTGGTTAGTTCTTACTTTTATCCTTAGTTTATATGTATTTTCCAAATTTTTCACAGTAAATATGTATTGATTTTATAATAAGGGATCAAACCATAAAAGCTCTTTTTTTTTCAAATGAGAAGCACGCTTAGATAGTCCCCCACCTTCTTATCCTACTCTCCTGGCAGTGCCTGCCTGACCTGTTTGCATGTTGAACAGAATATTTAGTCAGCTCTGCATTTCCCAAACCTGCTACCTTGAGATCAGTGATTTTACCTCCTACCTGTATTACTGAGGTGCCCTCCAGTGTCCGCCTCTGTAGTTATTAACAGTTCAGATCTCCAGTTTCATCTTTAATCTATCTTCTAAGTAGCCAGTTCCTACTTCCTGCTTTTTTCTTTTATGTTGGATGGGACCTTTTAAGTTTATCTTCATTTTATCAGTAAGAAAACTTAGATCCAAAGTGTCATACAAACTTAGTGCAGAACCCAGGTCTCTTGTCTTAGTGCCTTTTCTTCCTAGTAAGACCATGCTGCCTCCTTCTCACATTTCACTTTATTCAAGGAATTCTGCTTATTCTGATCTCATAACAAGGTTTGAGGGTGAAAATGGAATTGCACCCATTTTTCAGTCTGTAATCTCGGGCCTTAGTGGTTTGGTGATCACTCACCTAATCCTAAAAGAAAAGTTAATCTCCTTTTATGTAACAAGCACTTTAATTGATATACACGAGTGCGCGAGCACGCACACACGCACACATGAATTCTTGTAAATATACCCATTAATTTCTGACAACCTATTAAAGTAGTTTTTATCCTCTGTCTACAAGTGAGAAAACTGATGCTTAGAAAAATTAGGTAACTAACTTAAATGATCAGAATCTGCCTCAGAACTGGACCATTTCCTTCTATCCAGAGTTGCCCACTACTTTTCACATAATGGAATATGATGGTGTCAAGTACTTGTGAGTCTAACACAGAAGAAATGGGAAACTCTTGTAAAATGTTTTTTAGGAAGAGTAAGTCATTGCAAAATGCAGTTAATAATTATTTCTGGGTTTTACTGGTCTGTCACCTTGTATAATTGAGAATTGGAGTGTGAGTCTGCACATTTCCGTGTGAACTGTCCCAGAAGATGGGTTTTGCTTTTGTATCCAGAGAAGTCCTTTTCCAGATTCATGTAAAATTTTTAAAAGTCTCCGTTCATTACATATTAACAAGTCGTGATACGCCGATGTGAAGCTTGAACAAGGTTTTGGATCTTAAAGAACTCTTCCAGCACAGTTTCCTAAATTCACCACCCTCTTCTCTGCACTGCTCTTTTCCGCTCATCCACCCACCCCCGTAATACATGCCTCAGAGTGTTTTTATAAAACCTTCAGAGAGAAGACAGAATTCATAAAATGAAGGATATCAAGGCCAGTCCTTGAAGCACATGGGAGGCCTCCAGGGTGTGATTTGCAGACTGTCAGCTTCCGGTAATCTTTCCTGTGCCTCCTTTACATCCTGTCCTCAAGTTCTTCGTTTACAGTGACCAAAGAACCAATGATAGCTTTAAATGTGATCTCTCCTAAGATAGCTCTACATTTTAAAGCAATTGAGGCCTTAGTTAAAGCAAAGGAATGAATCTCTAATGCATAGAAGATCTGAGTCCTAGTCCTAGCTGGCTATCTGGTGTTCTTGCCATAAGCCCTTGGGCTAGTTGTTTTACTTTTCTGAAGCTGGTTTCTTCATCTGCAAATGAGAAGGCTAGTTGTTGGATAAGATTTGAGGTTTTTTCCAATGCCAACATGTCTTTTATGACTTGACCATTGTACATGGGACCATGTCTGTGTGAAGATCTTTCCTCCTGTGTTGATAGATATAGGCAGGCCCTGTTGGTAGCATGTGGAAATCCAATCCAGGCTCTACCATGTCCCGTCTATGACTTTGGGCAAGTCATACATTCTCACAGTCTCTGATCTCCATTGTCCTCAATTCTGTGTTATTTCCAAACCCAGGGTTTTTTGTCAATGATAAATGAACTCTACAAATGTAAATGATGAATGTTGCTATAATGGTGCCTGGGGACCAGCCCTGAGAGCCTTTTCTTATTTCGAGAGTACTAGGAGTGAAAGAAGCTGGTTTTGCACATGCCATCCACCTTCAGATGCTGTAGCCTTATTCTCACTCCTATTTTCTGCCTGGTATTACTTTGTCCCCTCCCCCTCCCTGCCATAGTTCCAGGATTTGAGTATCCCCACGCAGCAGTGATTACCTATGTGAGCAGCCTGTTACTTTCAGGTTTGGTCAGAAAACAAGCATCTTACCCCATCTCCACTCCATTTCATCTCACCACAACACATGTACTTTTTAATACTCTTACATACTTCTTGCTAATGGCTAATAAAAGAATTAGATTGTTGTTGAAGTACCTGACTATTTCCAGTTGATCCCCTATCACTCCCACCTCCCCAGTGAAGCTGAAAGGCAGAGGTGTGACAGAGAGTAGTAACTAGAGGGAACCAAGAACTAGGATACAGAGTTAATAAGACACCTTCCCCACTTTCAGTGATGTTGTAAGGACTGCAAGCACAGAGTGCTCCGGAAGGTTCCCGTAATGTTGGTGGGTTGGGGAGGCTTTGAGGAAATGATGATATTTAAGTGACCAATACAAAAAGGTGTGGGGAGGTTTCTCCATTTGACGGTTGAGGAAACAGTGTCAGAAGTTTAAGGAACTACCCCTGGTCACAGTGAGTCCCTGGAAGAGGCTAGAATTCAGACTCTGAAAGAATGCTAGTCTGATATTTGGCACCAAGATAAACTGCTGTATGAAAAACAAGCAAGTAATTTTGGGTCTTTACTTTTTATCCATTGCTTTACAAAATTGCAAATATATGCGTGCTAAAAGTGAAAGAAACAATTGCTGCTTTTTTTTTAAGTGAGAGAAGCTTTTGGGAGGAATAAAACAAAGCTAAAGTTCAGAATAAAAATGTAGATGTTTTGGGAAAACCTTATTTTCACCAGTATGCTGAAAATTGTCAAAGATATTTTACATCTTTTCTTATAGTAAAATGTCACATATAGTTTCAGATTAAGGCTGATGTGATTATGCCGTATGCTTGGTTAGTGCCTGAGGTATTCTTCCCTGCTGTGGAGAGGCTTCTTGTTTACATCCTTGCTTTCTTCAGTATGAATCAGGTGCACATGAGGAATATAGCATCTTATCACTTAATTCAAAGATAGCTACATGCCATATACTCTAAAGGTGGTAAATTGGTTTCACATATTAAAGTGTCTTTTTCTGCAATGTGTTAATTATACCAAAGCAAATGATCTTGCCAAGACACTAAAACTCATTATTTCATCTGTGTAGTTATAGATCACCTTATAAGTCACCTAAAATTTGGTTTCTATCCCTCAATCAGTATCAACTTAGCCTTTACTTATCTCAATTCCTGATGGCCCTAGATGAATACAGATACATTAAAATGTAATATATACAGCCCTGGCCAGTGTGGCTCAGTTGGTTGGAGCATTGGCCCATGCATCGAAGGGTCACAGGTTCAATTCCAGGTCAGGGCACACACCCAGGTTGCAGTTCACTCCCAGGTGAGGTGCATAAGGTACAGATCAATGTTTCTCCCTCTTCCTTCCTCTCTCTCTAGAATCAATAAAAACATATCCTCAGTTGAGGATTTAATTTTTTTTAAATGTTATATACACATACTTGAATTTTAAGTCTTTTCTTTATCTCTAACAATTTAATTTTAGTTTTATCTTAATGGCATTTTATTTTGGTGATAGAAAAAACATTGTTGATAATTGGCCTTTAACTGGGCAAGTTATAGAATTTATGTGGCCTCGGTCTTCTTGTAAGCAAAGGGACGTATGAGTTCTTAATTCCCTTCTTTCTACACAATTCTATGACTTATTACTTTGTTTTAAGTTAATCCTCTAGCATTAATAGGTTAAAGGTAAATGGATAGTTGTTGATGGATCAGGGTTAAAGGAATTATGAATCTTAGTGTGTATAGATTATCACACATTAAGTTACCAGGTGTGACAAATCTGGTGGCTTCTGTTATCCTTTTGTTTCTTAGTCACAAGATGTCAAAAGTAATAGCATGTCACAGACTCTCAGTTGGCAGACAATAAATGATTGTTGACATTAACTTGGGCATGGTTTATTATATTCTCTTAGTGAGTTATAAACCATTTCTAAATGCAAGTAAAAAAAGAGAGATTCAAAACTGAGTCCAGGAAGGGATATGAATACACAGAGACATATGCATATGTTTATGGCAGCTTTATTTTTAATAACTAAAAACTTACTTTCTAGGGTGGTGGAAATGTTTTCTACATCATTATTTCAGTGGTGCTTCTATGAATGTGGACATTTGTTAACATTCAGCAAATTATACACTTAAAATTGATTACTTTTATTCAGTGTAAATTGTACCTCAAATTTAAAAAACAGCAAACCTAGTCTTGAATGCCTCACAGAGTTGACTACTTCAGTTAGGGAAATAATCATTTTTTAAACTTCAAACTTTGAAAGACTACTTTTAACAATATACTAACAGGATTTTTATGATGAATCGATACAAAATGTTGACCCCACTAAAATGTATTTGCACAGAAAATGGAAAATGATCAGCTTGCTTTAATATCTCATTGCATTTTGCTTTCTCTTTACCTCTCTGCCCGACCTAGAAAAGCTAATTGAGGGACTCAAATCTCCTGACACTTCTCTTCTGCTCCCTGACCTCTTGCCTATGACAGATCCTTTTGGCAGCACTTCTGATGCTGTAATTGGTAAAGTCGTCATCTTCTGTTTCTTCAGTAATGCATGATGTGTGTGTCTATTTCAAGAATTATATCTAACTGGTTAACAGATCCCTAGTGAGTAGCCCTGGTGAGGAATGGAAATGCCACCAAGCCTTCTGCTGTTGGACGAGGCCTTGTGCTAACCTGGAAGCCAAGGCTATTTAATCTCCTTTGTTAGCACCTCAAATCAGGTGTTTTCTCTGTCTTCCAGCTGCACAACACTGTTATTTTTGCCTTGTTTTCATATCCTGAGATTTCTAGAGTGATGTCTTATGAATGAGGAAGGATGTGGGAAAATTCACACCTAGTTACAAAAGCTTCATGAAAAAAGTTGGTTTCAAGCTGGACCCTACCTTTAGCAGAGTCTTCTTTAGAAGGCCTCTCTACGTGCCAGGTATTAGTAACTGACACAACACATGCCTGGTGGTGAAGCCTCAGGGGTAGAAACGGGAAGGGGCTTAGTCTGCTTGTCCTTTCATTTCTCTGTGCTCAAACCGCAAGGCAGGCAAGACCTACAAAATGCCCAGGACCCCTGTACTCCAGGGGTGCAAAGTCCTAGAACTCAGAGAGGCCACGACCCTGCGGAGAGATGGGCCTCTAGCTAGGGGATGTCTCATAGCGTGATACCACCACACTAAATCATGGGATGGGATTACAGATGGACTAGTGGCCTCTGCAAGGCACAGAGGATGTGAAAGGCTCCCAAGTTTATCCCTTGAGAAAAGCAAAATTAACAGAAGATATTAAGGTGCCTTTCAATCTGTTTTCTGACATGGAAGAGATCTCCTGAATAGCTCTTATTCTGTATTTATCTATAAAAACTGAGAATCACTGAGACTGGCCACAGTGGTTAACTTTGCACAGACCTGCTCAATCAGTGAAGCCCAGATACTCAAAGCAGCAGAAATAAAGTAACTTCTGTGCTTTCCACCTCTCCTGAGACTGGCATTTTAGAAACCTGTAGGAGAAAGCCTTGATAGAATTGTCCAGAGAACTTCTGACTGCCTTTCCCTTACCCATTATTCTCCTTTTTTAATGCTCTGTTACAAAAGAAAAAGCTGATGTTGCTGTTGAGAGTCTCATACCAGGACTGGAGCCCCCAGTGCCCCAGCGCCTCCCATCTCAGACGGAGTCTGTGACCTCGAACCGCACAGGTCAGTCAGGAGTCTCTGCAGCAGCAGGGACTGCTTGATGTGGTGAGCTCTCAGAGCAGTCTTTTCACCTGACAGATGGTCCGGGGTTTATTTTGCAGCCTGGTTAGTTCCTCCCAGAAGAGATGCCCTGCATTGTTGCAGTCCCAGCTTCTAGATGTTGAGTGATGTGTTTCCTCGCCAAAAAGCAGATTATGTTTTTGGAGTTCTTTGTAGAGTGATCCCTGGGCTTTCTCTGATTACAGTCTATCTTTATTCAGGATATTTTTTCCACTGGTGGCAGATTCCTTCCACCTCCTTAATTAAAGAACTCTGCTGAGCTGTAAGGATGCCCTTAACTCCTCCAGGTTACTGAGCAGTCTCTCCCCTCTAACAGTGGTATCCATGGGGCTCATTTCTGGATGTTGACACCCTGTTCCTAGCACAGTGCTTTAATCATATAGGTGATTTGCTATTAAATTGTAGGCAAAGTTGAAATCTTTGCTGTTTCCAGCATTTCACCCTAATTTTTCCAAGTTCACTCCTAGTAGACTTCCTTAACTGCCCATAAATACAGATTTGATAACCTTCCTTTTTTTGAGTCCATAATTACCTTGATAAAAATGTCCGATTCTAACTAGGAATGGAAACAATTAGAAGTCTAGGAAGTATGAAAATTAACTCACCAGGTTAAAATAATTTAATAGGGTTTCCTTTCCTTGTGCTTACTTGGCTATTTTCTTCCAGAAAACTTTTCAGAAAATAATTCATGTGTTAAAATACTTAAACTCTGAATTTTGTCTTCTGTTCTTTATCTAAAAGCAAAATTATGTGTTCAAAGGAGCAGTTCAGATTTAAAGAATACTATTAGTAAGGGGCAAGGTCGTTCTATTCTGCATAGGAATCTGTTTGCGGTCTGGAAAGAACTGCTTAGTCATGTCATATTACACTAATAATAAGCCAGAGACAACCCCCTTCTAGTCAAATTGGTCACCTCATTCTATAGTGATTCTTTTTCATGAATGTTTAGGGGAAGTTTAAGTGAAACTCTTTAGTTGAAAAGTTCTTTTTCCCAAATGGCATTTGCTGAAAAACTGATCTGCTAAAGTTTTATTGGCATCCAAATCACATATTTGCTTATCTAATAACCTCTGAGCAAAAAATTCTTCCATATTTATATATTAAGGTTAAGAGGAATACATGCTTCTGTAGATGAAATCCAGAGTGTTTAACGTGTTTCCTTTGGTTTTCTTTCTCCTGCCTTGGCTTGTTTGTATGACATGTACTGGTAAATGCGGTAACTTAAAGGCTAAGGTCTAATCTTGTGATATTGTTGTATGTGCCATTTAATGCCATCACTGACCTGGGATGCTGTTAATCTGGACTCAGATTCTCTCACCGGGGAAGATTCCCTGATCGATTGCTCTCTGCTTTCTAACCCTACTACCGACCTTCTGGAAGAGTTTGCCCCCATAGCGATCTCTGCTCCAGCCCATAAAGGTAAATGCTTTCTTCTTCTTGGACCCACATGTGTCCTTAAAGGAGAACTGAACACCTCCTGAAATTGTTTCTTACCAAAAGTCTTTGCTAGTGAAGTGTTTTAACCACCTCCTTATGTGCAAAACTTGAGCTAGTATTCTCAGCCACTGTGTTATAGTCCCGCTCAGAAAGAATATTTAATAAGACTTAGACAACAGATTGGTGGAGGTCCGAGCTACATATCTTTGAAGTCAATTCAAGTAGATGGTTGAGTTGATTAACCACTGACTATAATTATTAATATGATACTTGTTGGCCTTAGAACTTAAAAATGTTTCATCAAATATGGTGTAACATTTTGGATAGTGATAAATAGGCACCAGTCCTCAAAAATTGAATGTGTAAAAGTTTTGAATTTAAGTTAACATTTGAGTCACAGTTACTTACAAGATTTCTCTTTTTAATCTACCATTTTCACTTCTTAGTCTTAGGTTAATACTGGTTTTTAATTCTGCTGGACAGAAGTAGCTTGCATTGAGTTCTATTCTGTGAGTAGTTTGTGAAAGTGATAGGCACAGTGCCTGGCTTACTGTACACAGGCATTCACTAAACTTCTTTCTGTGCTTGGGTAGTGAATGTGATTTTCTAGAAGGAGCAAATACATAGAAAAGGAACAGTTTAGAAGTCCTTCTGAAGGAAATTCAAAAAGGAAGCCTCCCCAAGTTGACTGAAAAGTAATTAGCCTGTGGTTTGCAGTGGTAATAGCTGAGCTTTTGTTTTTACCCTTTATAGCATTCAAATGATTATGTTTTTATAGAACATGTAGAAAGAAGTTACCTGTTTACCAAGTATGTCTGACAGGAGTGTGTCAGCAGCAACGTGTAATTACAGAGGAGCAGTACTTGCAAAATAGGCACTTAGCTAGCACTTGCTGGTAGGAGAGCCTTAATTAGAAGGGAGAAGAATATTCTAACAAGCTTCTGCTGGGAATCTCAGTGCATGTGATCCTGTGCCCCAACATTCCCTGAGGCATCAGAGGTATATGAAAGTCTATTTTCCCAATCAAAGGGCGGTGAGTCCTCCAAGAAGCACTTGTTTGCATTGTACATAGCGGTTGCTTTGTAAGGAGAAACTACCCCAACCATGGTTTTCAGTTTTTCAGATGTTGTTAGTCAGGCCTCTGTTTGTTCAGTAAAGAAGATAAATGACTAATCACTGTGCTTTTGTGAATTACTCACATTGAAGAAATACCTCACAGTAACTACAGCTAATGATCTTATAATGGCAGAGAGAATTCATCTTATAACCCTTCTCCCTCATCATTTATGAAAGTCTTAACATGGCCAGCACTAAAACCTTTTCTGCTATTTCCCTAAATTTTCCAATTTTGCTACATTTATTTCAACTCAGGAAAATAAGCATTTTCATCTTTAAAAAACTGCATTGATTGAGAAACAATTGGGAACTCTGTGCCTCTTACATGTTCTCTCATTTGCTAATCTCTGCTTCTGTTGTTTCTGCTTGTGTACTTGCATTCTGTATTAAGCTGCAGAAGATAGTAATCTCATCTCAGGTTTTGATGTCCCTGAGGGCTCGGACAAGGTGGCAGAAGATGAGTTTGACCCTATTCCTGTATTGATAACCAAAAACCCACAAGGTAAGAAAGAGAGGTTTGGGAAAAGAGCTTGATAGCAGCTCTCTGCAAAATAGTGGTGTACCTTTTTTACAAGGGGAAAAAAGAGCAACATTTAATGAAGGATTTTGGGGATAATGACAATCATTGTGGGCTGGACCAGTACAGACAGGTAGAGATACAGATACAGATAGAGATACTGACAGAGGTATCTTAAAGCCTGGCCATGTGTTTCTTTAGAGAGAAGAAAAGTATTAAATAGTTTGACCAAAAGTTGCTTTTTCAAAGCATCAAGCCAAAAATAAGTGATCTTTCAGTCAATGGAAACCTGAAGGCATATATCAGAAAAAGCACTGAACATTTTTTTATCATGATTAGAACAATTTATAATAAATATTCTTCCCAAAGAGATTAACAATGATGCTTTGATATAATTCGAATTTTTTGAATGTTTGTGGAACATACTTTTTCCTCTCTGATGGAGTCAAATCATTTGAACATGCCACAAAACATATATATTTTTAAAGCATGTTTTTATTGCAATGGTCTTAATAACTGTTGTCTTCCCAAAGCAAGATTACTGATTTTTACTCTATCAGGGAGATGATGCTATGTTGTCAAGAAGTTAGTATATAGCCAGCAGTTCTCAGGTAAAATATATATATTCATTAGAAAGGTGTCCTGCCTACAGGATGGTGTGCACACAGTGCCTGAGCCTTTTACGGGAGGTGGCGGATACCTAATTTATATGTTTAAAAATCAACATGTAAGAGTTTGCAAATGTAAATTGTTGCTTCTGTAGGGTTTTGTTTTAGTTTGGTTTTTCTCCTTTGCTTGCTCTGCACATCTAACCCTTAACCCTCTGTGTTTTGTACTGAATTCCTATCTCTCCACTTCCAGGTGGGCACTCTAGAAACAGCAGTGGGAGCTCTGAGTCCAGTCTTCCCAACCTAGCCAGGTCTTTACTGCTGGTGGATCAGCTCATAGACCTGTAGCCGTGACCCAGTAGCAGATGCAGTTCTGTAACCTTCATACCGTAATATACATTTTCATTACGGAATTATAAGAAAAATGATTTTTTTAAAAATCTGCAAATAAGGGGCCCTCTAGGCCTTATCTCCTACCCCTTGCCTTCTCCTATAGAAATGATAAGGAAAGAAAATCAATTTGGCCCTCCAGATATTTCTTGGCCAGTTCCTCCCTGATTGTTTGCTGTGTTTTCTCATTACCCTTCTTCAATAGCATTATCTTAAATCAAGCACTAGATGCCATGAGCTTCACCTCAGACGGAATCAACTCCACCAAAAGCTTAACTGTAACTGAAACTAGTGAACTGACACCTTTGCCTCATTCTTGCTAGGAATGGCCTCCCAAATCAATCCTCCCGACCCGTCTCCTTTGGCCAGATGCTGATGAATGTGTTTCTCTGCTTTCGCTTTTTATCCTGCTGCATTATTATGAAGACATGGCTTCTTCGGTTGGTCTTAACTCTAGGCAGTAGCCTGGAGACAGGTGTGTGGTTTAAGAAAGGGTAAAACTGACTGACTGATGGTATATATTTGAAAAGACAAAGTGAGCCCAGCTCTAGCCAACCAACATTGATCTTGTTTGATCATAGACTTAGCCAAGGGATTTTACACCCCATGCAACCTGCCCAGCATTCATCCAGCATTCTGGCTTCCATTGAACCGCAATTTCTCAGATCGGGAGATGTGACTGCAAGTACTTAAGATCCTTGGATAAATGTGTACATGATATAAATCCCAAATATTGCCATTCCTTTTCATGTTAACCATCCCAAGCCGGGATCTCAGAATTAGACCAAAACAAGACAATGGTGATAATATGATACCTTTTATTAGAAGACTTTTCATTGGGGGGTGGCTGGGGGAGGGGAAGGAATTGTAGCAGAAACAGATGTATTTTTCTTGTGATTTTTATTTTGAATCAAATACTGTAAATTGTGTATAAATGAAGACGCTGAATAGTTCTGTTTCCACTTGGCGTTTCAAGTCTGATATCAGGTGTCTGTACAGGGTTTTTGATCTCTTTCCCTTGTATAACTTTACACTGCAATCCTACAGTGTAACATATGGAATCATTTTGAGTAGACTTGTGCGTTGCTATAAGCTTTCAGCAGGTCTTCTGTCTTTGTAGAATAAGCATGTTGTTTATTTGCAGATAAACAGAAATAAGTGTGCTGACAAGCTAGGCACAATTTGACTCTGGCTACTTACCTTTCTTTCTCTCTGATGTTTGATTGAAGGATGCAGCCAATGAAATGTTCAGTTGGTTTTCCTTGGCTTCCTAGATTGAAAAATAAAACAAAGCATAGTTCCTCACTAACCTTAGAATATTGTTCATAAAATAAATAAAGGACCTTGCACTGACACGACAACATGCCTCATGGTCACCCTCTGTATATGTCCTTACTGAGTTAAGTGTATTTTTTTTCCTTACATGGAAAGCAGTTTTCTAAAAATTACCCTTTTGAAAAGGTGGGCACAGAGAACCCCACTGTGGTTCTCTTCGTTGAGTGCCATTGTCCATGATCAGAGGGAAACTAAACTCTTAGTTGGTCAGATTTGTACAAATAAAATTCCAAGTCCATTTGCTTGTTTCTCTATCTGGTACTTTTGTTTCTTCCTCACATTTGCACTTTAAGGGAGGGAAAAAGAAAGTTGAACAGCAACAGTCTGCAAAACACTGCATGCACTTTGGAGGTCAAGCTTTGACCTCAGCAATGTGAGCGCAGCCTTTGAAAGGCATCAGAGAAAAAGTTTGAATCTTTCAGTCTTCCTTCTGACTTGAAACACTTCCCATGCCAACTGAAGCTACATGAGCTAAGTAAGGCCTCTATGAGGATAATGGATCATTTCCAAATTGAGGAAGGCACAAGCCTTCCTGCTAAGGATTTAAAAAAGACATCTTTGACGAGCTCTTCCTGGTTGAATAGCAGTGAAAATGGGACTTGGCTTGCCCCTTTATGGACAGGAATATTATTGAAGATCAAAATTGTATTCTGTTTCCTGGACATAGAAAAAAATGTATAAACTAATGAAGGAAATGTTTATTTTTAAAATAAGAATAATGTTTTATGCCTACGTTTCTCAATTTGTTTTTTTTTTCATACATATGTGTTAAAAATATAATGAATATTTAGTTTCTTGAAACCATAGAATGTATAGTTTAGAAATTAGGTGTCTCTAACTTATTCCTTTCATGTATTATCCTAATCACATTGAGATATATTATCTAGTCATCTGGCTCAATAGAGACCATTAATGAAAAGAGCAGACTAGAAGCCAGAGACTGGATGGAGGAAGCCCAAGGGGGACAATGACATGAAATTCTTTAGGAGTAGGGCCTCAGAGGGAGAACTATTTTTCTGTGAAGGAATACAGTGAGTGAGCCAATAAATGGGGCCTTTTAATATATATATAGCATCATCCCTAAGCTAAAAGGGTTTATTTGAGATGAGTGTAGTGTGCTGATAATTAATAGACTTATGGAGCTATAAAAGGGACCTTAGAGGTCATCATCTAGTCCACCCACTTCATTTTACAAGTGTAGGATCTGAGACAGGGTAGTGGGAGAAGAGGCCTGGACAGGACAGAGCACCTGGAATCTCATCTTCACCTTTGCCAGTCACTGTCTGAGTTACTTCAGCAGGCGCATCACTTCCCAGAGCTGCTGTCCTTGTTTAGGCAATGATGGGTTTGGACTTCATGGTCTCTAAGATTATAGAATTATAGGGCTCTAAGATATATTATTAAGCTTTGGGAGGACTATGAAGGATTTATATATCCTGATGTTCTTCAGTTATCTAATGTAGTTCTTACTGTAGCAGAGTTTACCTTTTAGAAAATTATAATGGGCTTTTACTAACCTGGGTTGCTCTTTCTTGGTTATCTGAATTAGAAGCCTAAATTATGACAGAGTTTTGGACAGAGATATTCCTTTTTTTAATATTACACACTCCCACGCATGCACACTCGCACACAGAGTACAACAAAACAATATCAAATTTCAATTCTTTAAAAAATATATAATCAATGATCTGCTATATAAAAATGGATAAATACTGTAAGCATATGTGTTTTTTTAATTAGATATCTTATTATCTTAAAATTTATTTTTTTATTTTTCAATTATAGTTTATATTCAATTCTGTATTAGTTTCAGGTGTACAGCAAAGTGGTTAGAAAATCATATAAGCATATGTTTCTGATTTGTTTTATTCCAATTGTGCAAGAGTAGAAAACATCTCAAATTATTATTTTTTCCCTTTAGAGCATTCTAATAACTAGATTGCCAAATTCAAGTCTCATTGTTTTTAAAAACATATCACAAGAGATAAGGCTTAAGTGGACACTTATAAATATGATTATAATTAATGATTACTTTAGCAGACATATTGGAATTTTGACATCTAATTGAGTGTTGTTCCTTGGTTTTAGTTGGGAACCTAATACTTATCTTAATCATTAAAGTTATTTTTGAAACTGCTCTCCTTAGAAATACTATCAAGGAAGGTAATAAGGTATAAGAAAATCAGTTATTATTACCTAATTGGTATCACTTTCAGCACCTGAAAATAGGTGTGTGTTTTTTTTAGTCTACTTTTTCTACCACTCTTGGTTCTGAGTGACATTTAGCTGTTTCCAAAGGCAAAATCACCACCCTAAGATCAAGAGTAGTTACTATTAAAGATAGTAAAGAATATAATCCACAGAACATTTCCAGAAAGAACCTTATAATGGAAAGGGACAATGATCATTCTTAACTTTCTTAATATTCTGAATAAGTGAATGACTGGTTTAGCCTGTCTTTAATGTAGTTTAGAAAATTGGAAGATACATATTTTTAAAATACCTCTAAAATAGGTTGTCATGTTGTTCAGTGTCATTTGATAATGAACTTGCCACTTAAATTATAATTATAAAACTTGGATTGCTAATAATTATAGGGGAACAAACAAAAAAAGAGTCTGTTTTTCTCAAGATGAAATGTTAATTTTGTTTATAATACTTTTTCCCACTCTCCTGACCAATAATTGATCATTTTTATTTAAGTCAGCCCAATCTTCTCCCAGATCAGAAACAGCTTTGCTTTCAGCAGTGCTGTGGTAAGCAGGGGACCTTTGGGGTTGACCTCATCCCAGAGGTATGAAGATAATAACTTGTTCAGCCCAGCACACTGTAGATACCTTGGGCCAAAATAAAGTTTCCATGATAAAGTTTGTGAGCTCCATGAGTCTTTAACTTTCTCAGTTTATAAGACTATCCAGATACTATAGCCACTAACTTAGAGTTTGGAGATAAAAATGACAGGGCAACCTCATTTAAAAAAAGAAAAATGAAAAGAAAAAAAGATAAGATTGTCCAAAATACTGAATTAAGCAAATTAGAGGCTGCCAAGCGGAACAGAGAAACTATCACATGAATTTTAAAATGGAATATTTACTGAAATACTCCAGATATTACAAAGCTATCTTTCATTCCCCTTTAGAGACTATACATTTATGAGCTGTTAGCCTTTTCCTTGTCCATGCTAGTAATGTTCCTGGATGTGCTTGGGTTTTTTGAGTCAGAATGAATCCTGAATGGCTTCCATTTCAAATAATCTGTAACAAGATACCATTTTGTTTCTCCTTGGTGTCCCTTCACTGAGGTGGGGGAGGGAGGTGTTTGGGTAATGCAAAGTTACCTAGTGGTGGTAGTTGCTAGAATGGAAGACACTTTCTTGGTTCCCACTTTGATGTAGTATCTGAATGTACTCCTTTCCTGCCAGTACTCTCTGCCCTATTGCACGCCCCTCCTCACGTGGATGTATATTTACCACAGGTCATTATCCCCGCTCTCCCAAGAAGACAGAGCAAACAGGTACATGAAGCTATCTTATGCAGTAAAAATGTGAAATTTGAACATTGCTACGCAAGTATTATATAAAAACAAGTCTGTAAACAAATTTCTTATGTAAACATACAGGGGAATAAAGACTTTATCTGTTCAAACAGGAGCATTGATGTTTAGAGCTATAAACAACTTAAAATAGCTGCTGTTTTCCTGAGCTGAAAACCCACTTTTGCAAAAAGGATTGAAACACATTGTTGAGTGACAATAAGTACCTGCACACAAGGGAAGTGTGGCCACATGTGAGAGACATGCTGAGGACATTTTAATGAGTCATGGCTATCCTGGCTCCACCTTGTGGTCTGGGAGAACAAAACCACGTGCGCCTGCATTTGATATGATCAGACATGGGGTTGTAAAATGGAGCACAGATTTGCAGCTATCCTCCTCTAATTTCATCTTTAATATACCCAGGCCAATTTAATTAAACATGTTATGTTGGCAGCAGCAGTTTTTTGCCCAGGGAGAAATCTCTCCCGTTTAATTGCTCCATTGGCTTGAGAGGCACAGCATCACTAGCCAATATTGGCTCCTAGCAAATCCCTTATTCCCCAGTCGTGGGTTTTAATGCGACTACACAGCATATGGTCAAACCAAATGCTTAATTTGATCATCTAAGCCAAAAGGTCATAGAAGTTATTAGAGAGGAAAGTGAAATTCGGGTTGTGCGTGATGTATTATATTAAGGAATAACCAGTCAGAAATTTAAGTCTTCACATTTTGATTTTTTAGAAAGCATGCTGATGACCTTCACTATGTCCACCTGATAAAATTTTCAGAATAAACCTTTCCCAAATCATTCAACACTCCTCATTGCTTTTGAAGTTAATTGAGAATTAGTGAGGATAGTTGCCAAGTCATCAAATATTTTTTGGGACTCCTTTCCTACTCTCTGAAGCATGTGAGCTCTTACTAAAATCTATATAATTTTGGAGCCTCAAAATAGACTAAAATGGAGTTTTGAAAAGTGTGCTTAACCTTAACTTGGCACACAATCCTACGTCAGAGCAAGAAAAAGAAATGTTTTGACTTGTTGCTTAATTTAATGTGCTCAGCCAAAATAAAAAGAGACATGACCTAGTTCGAGGAATTAGAACAAAATGCCCTACCTTAGGCTTCTTGATAAGGAAGACCCTGTGCAGACAATGTGGTCAGGTCCTGGCCTTAACTCCCACCACCCCACCCCCCACCCCCCAACAACTGTCTATCTTTATTGAGCTCTGTGGTTGTGGTTAAGGACATCTGCTGTGCATGCCATTAATTACCAAAGGAACTGGACCAAGGCGTGAGGTTAAATTAGTATAAACCCTTTAATTGCTAGTAGGCAGACTACTTCACACATGTTTCCTGATGGTGCAAAGCTGTCTTCATACACAGACTGTTCACCCTGAAAACACGTGTTTTCCCTACAAGAACACACTCATGTTCCAAAAAAGACCTCTAACTCCCAACAAAACTCAACGTCTACCTTCTGTTTACAGTTATCTAGAATCTCTCTTCTTGACTACTCTGTTTCTTGTGCTGTCACCATCAAAATTCCCTGAGGGAATGTGGTTGTCTGTGCTTTTCCGTATCCATCAGCATTTCTTTGGTCTGCAAAGTGCCAGGCTTGGAGAATTGCAGAAGGTGTTTGCTCTCTGCCTTGATCACACTGCCCCTCTACTAAAAAGAATGGACAGGTTGAGGGACTTGGCCTTCTCAGGAGAAACCTTCACATGTATCTTTCCAATCCTGTAAGCAGATTCATGCTGAAAGAGATATGAAGCAGTCTGACCTTGCTTTGAAGGACAGGAGACCGATTTTCCCTTTGAACTCTATGTTAAAGCATTTTTGTGGCTGTGTGTGTGAATTTTAAAAGCTGTTGGAACTTTAAATATGATTTTCCCATTGCACCATGAAGGGTATAGAATATGCTCTAAGTTGGTAGGCTTCCATTTGACTTGACTAAGAACCCACTTTTTAACAGAAGTAATTTTGATAAATCTGGCATGTTCTTCCATCCTGTCCAACTCTGGAAATGGCCACCCCTGATTGGTACTTAGAGTTCTCAAAATGTAATCGAACACTGTGGGCATTCCAACGTGACCCAGGTTCTATAGGTAACTGCTTTGGGACAATCTCTGCACACAAATATATTTCACTGAATTTAATTTAAATTTCCCCAAAACTCTAACTCGGGCAAACTAGTGTTCATTATTGATCGATATGATGTCAGAATCAGTCATTGGCTTGACTAAACTTGCCATTTTTTTCCTAACTGATATTTTGTTCTCCCACAGAACCAGCTTAATAACATCAACTTTCAGGGTAGATTTGGAAGTTAAGAATTTGTGCCTTAGTTTTGGCAACTGAAAATTTGCGCATCTGATGCTGTTAGAAAGTGGTTCAGAGAGTGTGGGGGGGCCTCTCATACCACTTTGCTTGGCAAATCTTATTTTGGAAAACTTCTCTTCCCCCTTTCATTTGAATTTCCTCCCGGAAATCATCATCTGGGAATCACTGAGACAAATCTAATATCAGTAAACTTGCCTGAGAGGTTAGGATTATGTCTTTCCACATAGATTGCAAGGGAGAAGGTGTTCCATTTATTTCCTATCCCCTAATGCTTTCATATCATGCAAGTGCATATGTTAAAGCTGTAACACAAGGAAAAATTTATCCTCTTCAAAATAAACTTATTCTTCAAATGCTATTCAGAAAGCCATTGCACCAGTATAGAATTTAACTTCAAGACTGATGTGGGATTCATCAAATGCATTTCAACTGTTAGGAAGGGAAATAAAAAGGAGGGGGAGGACACCTTTTGTTTCTGGAAACAATATTTAAGGTCAGAATTATTTAAAAAGAAACACTGCTCAAAAGTTACAGGATTCAGAAGAGTATAGTATTTTTGTACAGTATCTTCTAAAATGTTTGGGTCTCTCTCTGCAACTCTTTACAATGTAATAGCAACTGGTTTCCCAATAAACTGATTTTGATGCTGCTTCAGCTGTGTTCTGTGTGCTTACTTTAAGCAAACTTAAAGGGGAATATTGTTAGCAGAAGTTTCTATGAGCAAATGGTTTGCATAGAAGGGGAGAGGACTACTATGTGGGGTTGGGATGATTGAATTACCTCTGTACAGAGGTTCCAAGTCATCTATAGAATCCAAATCTTTTTACCAAATGTTCTTATCCTGGTGGGTTGGGAAACCCATGATGAAATGATACCTTTACCCCCAACCACCCTTTCTCTGGATTCTTCTTGCTTAGTTACATATGCCTTTTTCCTGCCCTCTTGCTAACATGTGCCCAATGACATACTTCTAACCTGCTAATATTTCTTGGAAGGTAAGCTCTCTTGCATTCTGATAATTGTCTATTTGATGTTAAAAGCCAGAGCACCCTGAGGCACTTCTACTAGATAGAAATAGACTAGTATATTAGAATTTGCAAATACTTCTGTAATTTCCCATACATTTTACTCTGTTTAAAGAAATTTAAGATGGAATCATTTAAACAGAGGAGATCTTTGCTAACTTAAAAGACAGAAAACAAAATTCCAGGGCTACTCCAGCTAAAGTTGAAATTTAATATAATTTTGCTTATGTCTCCTCCCCTGAGAAAGTGCCTTCAGTATTCCTGTTTGAGGTACTTTTATGTCAATCAGCAAGTAAACTTGCATTTATCTAGCAGCCGTGTTTTGCTGCTGTTTGGGGGCAAAGGATGGGTGTCCTCAGATACCGGCAGAGCATGACCACATGTCAGATACTGAACTGAATTTGTCCCCAGACAGTATTTCTGCATACTCCAGAACCATCATGGTATACGTGAAGATGAGTGGCTGGGTTTGTTTTCATTCCATCATGTGCCAGTGCCAGCTAGAGCAAGTGTCAGTGCCTAGCCCCGTGAGTAGGAGCATTGCGTAGCTGCACTAAATGTCTGTGTGCCTAACGTCTTCATCTCCTTTCCTGTACATTGTGCTTATCATGTCCCAAAATGTGAGACAGTGATTGGTTGTGTTCCAGTTTGTGTGCAGTTTCCTTGCCTGACTTTTATTTTTCTGTTTTTCCTTTTCCATGTTCAACATCTATTATTTGGTCCCATAATGTTACTGCCGTGGGTTGACCATTAAATGTTCCACGGAGAATTGAACCAGCTGCGCATTAATTCTGCATTTTGTGCTTTTCTAGGTCTCCAGAGAGAGCCCAATCCCTGTCCTGTAATAACTGTAGAGCACTTTAAAGAATCAACGGGCGTTAAAGGCCTTCCCCTGTATCCAGACCCCTCCAGAGTACCTGACACAAAAACACAGAACAATTTAGAATCTGACTACTTGGCCAGAGATGGCCCTTCAAGCAACAGCTCATTCCACAGCAGCGAGGAGGAAGGGACTGACCTCGAGGGGGACATGCTAGACTGCAGTGGGTCTCGCCCTCTCCTCATGGAATCTGAAGACGAGGATGAGAGCTGCAAGCCTCTGCAGGGGAAGCTGGGAGGAGCCATTCCATTCGCTCAGCCAGAAGTCTCTACTGAGCCAGCAAAGGCAGTGCAAGGTGGAAAAAAGAACCAGTTTCAAGCCCCTACACAACCAACCACTGATGGTGTTGGTGAGCCAGATGTTTTTGCCACAGCCCCCTTTAAGAGCTCAAGGGTTCCAACGGACGAAATGGACATTTTCTCCAAAGCCCCTTTTGTCTCCAAGGGCAGTGTGGCTCCTTCCCAGCCAGAGGAGGCGGATGTGTTCTTAAGAGCTCCTTTTACCAAGAAGAAAAGTATGGAGGAGGTAACAGTTGCCCAGAGCGCCTCCCAGGAGTTGCCCACACAGGCCGGTCTCAGTCAGACAGACGAGGTCGCTCAGCTCTCAGGCCTTGACAGAGCAGTGTACTCTGTCCGATCTCAGTATTCCATGGCTGGTTTTGCCCAACAATCCAACCTCCCCTCCCATTCTGTACAAGCAGCAGACCATCCTGACAGCATCTCACCCAGGGGAGCCTCCCTGGAATCTGGGGGCCATCTTAACGACAGAAACAAAGGACTTCAGCCTCAGAAAGAAGCTGCCTCGGGCCCCATGGCTGGCAAATCATTCCGCCCCCAGTCTTTATCCAAATATTCCCGTCACTATAGCCCAGAAGATGAGCCAAGTCCTGAAGCGCAGCCCATTGCTGCCTACAAAATCGTTTCGCAAACCAACAGGCAGTCCATAGCTGGCTCTGTTTCCATCACATCCCTTCCTTCCAGGACTACGGAGCTGCCAGCTGCTGATCCTTTTGCTTTAGCACCCTTTCCTTCAAAATCAGGCAAGCAGAAACCTTAGGAGCAATACTTGAGCCTTAGGCCTCTGTGTCTGCCCCACCCTCAGTAACCCACCACATCACTCCCAGCTGAGCCTTCCTAAGAAGAAATATATCAATTATGATCTTTCAGTTCCCTGGGTCAGAGGCAGATGTCAGTCAACAAACTCAGTTGCAGTGATACTTAGTCAAAACCCCTTTAAGTATGCTCATTTCCTTTGTTTATATTGATTTCTGGACTTTCAGGCTTTTCCATCTCCAACTCTACCCAGAACTCGGCTTTCTTCCCTCCTCCCCCGAAGCTGGGATTTTTGTTTGTTTGTTTCTTTAAAATATATTTTTATTGAGTTCAGAAAGGGAGAGAGAGAGAGAAACATCAATCATTGACTGCTGCCTCTTGCGCAACCCGCGCATATGCCCTTGACCGGAATCAAACCTGGGACCCTTCAGTTTGCAGGCCAAAGCTCTATCCACAGAGCCCAACCGGCTAGGGCCCCAGAATCTGTTTAAATCCAGAAATAATTTATTCCAACCCCAAAAGGGCCATGTTATTGCTAGTTTTAATTCCTGCAGTCCTGTTCTGAGTCATGTCCATTGAGGAATCGAGATTAGTCCCTCCAGGACATAATACCCTTCAAAAGGGGATATTTCTGGAAAGAAATGCAAGATAAAAATCCTGCACCTCAAGAGGAAGTGTAAGCCTGCAGATATAATCATTCCTGTGAAACCAGCAGCTCTAGGATTCTCTGCATCTGTTTCTGAGTCTGTGCCAGCAAGGCAGGCCCTCGCACATGTGTGTCTGTGGGTATTAACATGTGTCAGATCTTTTCCTATGTAGAAATGCAAACGGATGAGATATCTGAGCTCATGTCTCATAGTGTTGAGCCTTCCCTACATCCTCGCTGCTTTGTAAATCAGTATGAGTGCACAGGTGTGTGTGTGTGTGTATGCATGTGTGTGCACGTGTGTACATGAGCATAGGAAGCATTTTTTCTTTAAGATAATCTTGCCCCACAATCCTACCTCCACAATCATTTACTAGCATTTGTTTCCTACACTAACTGATATTTTTATTTAGTTCTTTTCTCGTGGTAAAATTTATTTCATTGGAAGGTATAAGAAAATCCTGCTGAAACAGGTTTCAGAGTAGATTTCTTTTTCTTCACAATTTTTTATTTGTGATTAACAAATTCTATTTACCTGGTCATGAAAAATTAATTATTTTCCTACATTTCCCCCTCAGAACAATAGAAAAGAGCACCATGTTACAGTTTCAGTCACTGGGTATGTGATCTTAAAAAGTACTTCAAAAACCTTAGGTCTGAGCACTCCATGCTGTCATTATGGAATTAAGTAATCATGAGACTAGGCTACAAACTAGATTTGCTTGCTTGCTTGTTTGTTCCAAATCCTTGCCATTTTTCTCTACTGCCTCTTAAGGAATGTAAATCTAAGACTTGTAAGTAAGTTTGTTTGGGAGAATGGAAAAGAGCTGAATCTGTTAGCCATGAAAACTTTTATTCTCTCTTTAGATGTTGAAGTAAGCCAGATAGATGACTGACTTGTGTTTTTGAAATGTTTTCTCTTTCTGGAAAGATCTGACTCATTCCTAGCTGTTTTCATACCCTTTATTATTAGTGCCTTAAGATGAAATTTATGTCTCAATGGTAAGGCTTCTGCTGAGGAAATTCAACTTAATGGGAAGAGTTGCTACACCATGTTTCAATGTGAAAGCTTCTTGTGACTTATAGTAAATGTTAGGGATTTTTTTCCCCCATTAGCTGGAGAAATTGGGGAAGTTGCTTACCAAACAAGATTAATGATTTAAGAATTCCTGGAAATTCATCCAAGAATCAAGCCTGAATTTGTCCAGTTCTATTGCACTTGATAAGGTGTGAAGTTTTTAAATTTAAAGTTCATGGATCTTGGCAGTAAAATAGGAACAACTGCTTTTTAAGACTTTTTCTAGTTTTGTCTCCACCTATTTTAAATGACCAGGTTAAAGGATAAAGTGAAATAATTGGCACTGGATCAGAGCTACTAGCAATGGTTTTTCCAGCTGAGGTTTCTTTGTGCCAGAAATGAATATCTTTCACTTTGTTAGATGTTAAATGTTTATTCTAAGACTTTTCTTTCTCCCAGTGATCATTTCTGATTTTTCTGTGTAACAGTGGATGCAAAATTATCTTTCCAGTTGGATGAATTCGTTTTAGCTAATGCATATGGAATTTTGCACCCCAAACTCCTCCCCTTGATATTATCAATTAAATCCTTCAAAGGCAAGAGGATAGGAATATTCAGGAGAGTTGTCACCCCAAATCAGAAACTCTTAGAAAGTAGACCATTATTCTAACTCACTCTTCCAAATATTCAGGCTTACCACCTCTCTAACAGCCCTGCAAATGTTTTTCCTTTTTTTTTTTTTTATCACATCCTCCTAATCAAGTAGCCATTTTAATCCTCAAGATAAAATCAATAAAATCATGGTGGTTTTTATTATGCACTTGAATCCTTTGTCAACCATGGGCTCGTAACCTGTTTTTCTCCTCACTGGAGACTTATGATGGTTAGAGACCCTAAATACCTTTTTGAATGGGAAGTGAATAAAAACACATACAAATTACTGTTGTATTGTTACTGATACATGAAAATTTTGTGACTATGGGATTATATTAATTATTAGCTTGCAGCTAGTGAATTCTGCAGTCATCTACTTTGGATCATAGAAGGTAAATACATCCCTGAAAGGTAAAATGTTCTTGCCAGAGGCCATCCTGCATCTGGAAATCTGGAAAATGTAGTTTAAGGGAACAAGGAGTGCTCAGGGTGCTTTGAATTAGTAGTAACTGCATGTTTCCAGCAACTACACTGCAATATGTTAATATTAAAGAGAAAAAGAAAATGTGTAGTCAACAAAATGCGGCACTTCTTATTTTAGTTTGTTTCATGTGTTCCTTGCCTTGCACATCTCATAGGAAATGCAGGAACTTGTGACCTTTCTTTCATTCAGTGGAGCATATTGAGCCAGAATATATTCGGAATAAAGCATTGAATCACACCATGCACTAATTGACTAACAGGCACTGTTGAAATGAATTATCTTATGTGTGGCGAAAAATAGTTCACATATCTGTTTCTTGGGCTTACAGACAGCCCTGAGCTCCAAAATCCTTATTAGATTAGGAAATGGAATGAACAAAATGCGTGGCAGGACCTAAGGGTATCTAGGTCAGGAACTCTATTTCATTTGGGGCCCATTCATTGTTGAGTTGAAAATTTCATGTGTGTAGGTTAGTGAGTATGTGTTTATATTCCCATATTAGCTCTGAGTTTAATTTGGTAACTAAGATATTTCTTTCTAAACTCCAGGAAAAAAACAGTATTTTATTGACCCATTATTTAAGTTTTAAAATACGTGTATATCAGTGTTTTCAACATGTATGTATGATATTCAACAGACATTTCACGGACTCATAGCAGGTTTATATAAAATAAGTGTAATCACCAGAGTGGTTTGACAATAGGAATTCAATCATGCTGTATTTGATTCCATAAAGAAAAGTCACCAAAGCCTAGATCCTGTAATATGTATAATTATGTCAAATAGGAAACTTTACCATATAGGAAACTAGAGAAGGGTAGGATCAAGCTCTTTTCACAGGAAGGATATGACTTAAAATGGAGTCACTTTAATAAATGTTATTCTCTGCTATGTCTTTGGAATTGAAATTGGAGAACATAAGCCAGTCAACTGTGGAATGGCTGCTGACCACACAGATGCAGTTTTTGAGAAAACTGCAAAGTTTCTGAAAAATATGGAACCCAGATTACTTCGATTAAAGGTACATAGGAGAGCTGCTGAAAGGGCCACACCTTCTAAGGAGGCAGGAGCACCTTGTAAGCACCACAGCCACCCCTGAGTTCTGATCCTTCAATCTTGCCTGATGGAGTAAACATGAAGATTTTAAATGAAATTATGTAATATGAATTCTTAGTGTTTCCAATGCCTTTGTTAACTTGTAGTTTGTTTGTTCTTTTTTGTTTTGAACCACCAGGATACTTGCAAACTTGTGACTTGTGAAGTTCACTTAAGGGGGAATTTCAAAATGCTTGAAAATAAAAAGTAGTATCAGGTTGGGAGTTGTTTTTGTGTTCTTTTGCTACAAAATAAATTTGCTAGGTTGATGAGAACAACAAGCTGGCTCAGCTTAGATGTGGGAATTTACACTGGGCATGTATTGATTCTCAGAATGCCACCTTGCCCTCTGACTTCCTGGTCCTATCTGCCTCGTTTGCAGCTTGTCTTGTATTAGGAAACAGGCTTCCCACATGTGGTGCCCAGGATCCCATCATCAAAATGCTGCCAGACGTAGCTTTTTCCTGCTCTTTCTTTACCCTGCAAGTCTTCCTGGCTCATTTTCCTTGTTCCTATTCCCACTTCATTTCCTCACATGACATCCCCCTATTACAACCATACCAATAAGTGTTTAAGAGGTATGAATGAATATTATGTTAATTTTTATTTGCCTCCCTTTTTACTGTAAACAGTTTCTCCTTACATTTCAGCCTAGCCTGTGATAATCTCACCACACTGGAGTAATTCACAAAATAAGAATGAAATGGCTCACCTTCCTCATTTCTTATGGACTAGAAGAAAGGATGAAGGAAGGTTGGCAGGACCCCAGCCTTACTCTGTGGAAACAACCAAAAAGTATCTATTCATCTTGATCTAACATAGGTCCCAGAATGCCCTAGAATGCAGGGGCAAGTTTATGTGTGAAGGGACTCTAGAATAGCTAATGTTAACCAACCCACTGGTGGCCTAGTCCAGTATTCCCATAACTTATAATTACATAAGAAATTTAGTCTGAGCTACTTCACAGCAATCTCAATATGTCTTGAGTTTATACTAACAATGTTTTGTTCTTGAAATCTAGTCAATGTTATCTGCATTGCATTGTAATGTACCAGTATATGCATGTTAAAGGGATCTGTTTGATTCCTTTGGGTAAGAAATTACAGA